AGACAGACTAAAAGACAACAAAAATTCCCCTATGATCCCACATCTCTTTTAATATTTAGTGTCACATAAGTATGGTTTTATTTTAATTCTCTTTTTATGTCGATACAAAACATACAGGTCTCACTTCAAAGGGAGTAAACGATAGTTCATTCTAAAACCAAACATGGGTGACCATGGCCAAGGAACTCAGTGATTCAGATTATGCCAAAATTCACGTGCCTATGTGGTTCCATGACATTTTTATAGCATCAGAACAATGGAATAGTTAGTTCATAAATCCACAGGCTTTTCAAATACACTGGTAGAAACTTCGGGCAAGTGGGTACAGCAAAGTGAGAAATTTCTGTTGTAGCTCTCAGATGCTATCTGATGTCATTATTAAAGCCTTTGGGCTGGCCTACACACTGTAAAGATGTTAGATCACACACAGAGATGGGCTAACATAACCCAAGATACAGTGGGTCTTGGTCTGCAACATTCAAACTCTCTATAACCATTCCAGCTACAATCAGTTAATTAATTAGTTTATCGGCATTGTAGAATGTTCGATTCAAAGCATGGCTGTTGTGTACTAGCTTCAGTTAATGCGTACTTATGCATTTATTTTATTGTAAGGATAAATTGTAAAAAATAATCCTGACGTCACCCCTTTGTGATTTCTGAGTAATGCTTTTATGTAGGTCTCCTTCTTAGTTAGCTGGGTAGTGTGAGAAGAAAGGAAGCTTTTCCTCCACAGAGTCCCCTTTTGTCATGGCATTTTATCACAGCAGCAGAGAGGAGCCGGAAAGATAAGCTACCCTACAGGCTGATGTCACTGGGGATCTGGCCCAAGAGGCTCCCCCAAAAGAAAAGAGCAGAGTCTCTTCTCCTTCCACTCTCGCTGCACTGCTGAGTCAGAGCAAGCATGCTTGTCTGCAAAGATCCCTGGGTGATTCACATTCAAGGTTCACAAGCGTTGTCCTATCCCTCAGGTTAATGTCAGCACAGTCAGTTACTACAATTAAAAATATTATTTTTTAAAAAATTATAATTCATTGTTAACAATGTCAGGGCAATACCAATTTGTTGGATTATGGAGCTAGACTTTATAAGAGGATATACAAGGCAGTTTATCAGGGATTGGTAACCTGGAAAAAAATGTGTCTTCTTAAACTTTTTCTATAATTGTCCCTAATGAAGTATTGATTGACTATTGGATCTCTCAACTGAGAACGAGTTTTTCATTTTCAAAGAATGTGAAATGGTTTATTGCCAGACGCCCCTTAGGGGAGGAAGGGCAGGAAGTCATTAAGGTCAGGACGGTTTCAGACCTCTGCAGCTGAGTCACAGCTTGTCAGTCATTCGTGGCGAGTTATGAGGGAGTGGGGCAAAGGTGGGGCTTGAATTTCAATCAGTTGATTCAGGTAGGAAAACAGGATTGGGACTCTGGAACACCCTGAAATATCTCTAGCCACCAAGCACTTTGCTCTTTAATTAGAAAGGGTAGCTCTTTATGGATTTATTTCTCTAAATAATCTCATAAATGGTGATAAGGAAAGGAAAAGTCAAGATTACTTGGGGCAGCAAAAGGAGGTGTGTTCAGGGTACAGGCACTGTGCCAGCCAATAGTTCCCGGTAGAGTAAGGACAGTTATGCTCAGAACAAGGAAGCGAATTTAAAAATCATAACCTGACTTTCGGCTTAAAAGAGAGTAATATAGAGCTGGAGAGAGGATTGCTCAGTAGCTGAGATCCGAGTTTGGTTCCCTGTATCCACAGTGGGCATCTCACAGGCAAGTGGAACTGCAGCTCCAGGGGCTCTGATACCTTCTGCCCTCGCAGACACTAGTACACATGAGACATACAGTCACACACATGCACGTAAATGAAACTTAAAGTATTAACAGAACAGAGCTTGTAATAACGTTAAGGTAAGCAGACTAGCCTCTCTCAGGCTAGCTGGAAGCTTGACTAAGGGCCCATGAGCCATTTCTTTGAAATGGAGTCATTGAGGAAGAGAGGATCCCGAATTATTTTTGCCTGTGTTGTGTGGGAAAACAGAAGACTACCTCCCCAAATTATTAGTTAACAGACACAGATGGCCTAATCACATTGAACAGCTGTCTCCAAAATCCTTCAGTACATTCTCACCAGTTTAGAAACTCTCCTACCATCGGTCTCAGAGAAATTCAGTTTGTTCTCTCTTTTCTACCATAAAAATCTCCAAGAAAGTCTTCTCTTTGAATCTGTCTGGGCAAATTTTCCTTAACAGTGAAGAGGAAACAGAGAAAGGGGAAGGCTGAGGTTTACCGCTGGCATCAAGAATTCGGTGGTGGTGGTGGGGCGGATGTCTAGAAGGACAACTTCTCTTAAGATGGGTTTAGATCAGGGAGGGCCTGAGTGACAAGGTGGGCAAATCAGAAAGCTGGCAGTTATTGAGTAACCCTGCCATTATGGATAGATGGCAGCCGAGGCACTGCAGTAATTCTCTAAGATTAAATTTAATGAACGCTACTTAGTGCCGGTCATATAATGAACACCCATATCAGCTATCATTATCATAATAACAATCAGTCATGGTGGTCATGTTTATGTCTCTCTTCATTCTAATCAACTGCATTTTTAAAAATTTATTTATTTAATTATCTATTTATCTATCTAATTTTTATTATTTTGTATGTTTATCTTGGAGGGGGGATGTGTGGTAATGTGTACTTAAAAACAGGTGCCCTTGAACAACTCTGGAACCCCTCAAGTTGGAGTTATAGGCAGTTGTAAGCCATCCAACAAAGATTATGGGAACTGCGCTCAGGTCCACAAGAGTAGTCTCTGACCTTAAGCACTGAGCAACCAAGCCAGCACCTATGCTGTACTTTCTAAGGACAAAAAGCAAAATACTTGAAGGCATTTCTGCAGTGATTCTTTCCTATCTGCTTTCAAATATCTCCATATAAGATCTAGCCACTGCCACATGGATCCAACCTCAGGCTGGGGACAGGATTTGACAGAATGCTTGCCTGACACGTCTGAGGCCCTGAACTTGATCCTTAGTACATCTGCCAATTCTAGCAAATAAATAACCATAGATTCAGCCTTTTACTAATTTCAAACTTTGTATGTGTTGGAGATCGAACCTAAGGCCTTGCATATATAAAATATGTTGCCTGCTATGTAGTAACATGCCAGCCCTCTTCGGTTACAAAGGAGTATGAGGATTCTGGGAGTTAGAAAGATTTTTGTCACAGAATAATAACAAGGCTGCAAAATAATTAAGGCTGGGCTGGACTTAATGCTGACCCAGATCCTAGAAGTTACAAGGATTCAGGTGTCACAATCTCCTCATCCCAATGTGTAGGAAAATTACAATGGCACAAATGAAATAATCTTATAATAAAATTCTGCTTGGGGATTATGTTGCAGGAGAAGAAAGGATTCAGCAGTGCATATTCACGGTTGGCCCAAGGTTTAACCAATGGGGATGGAAGATTGTCCTGAGAAGTCAACGGAGGGATTCAAGATAATGACAAATGAGACTAAAGGATCATCTGGTTTTTAGTATCACCATATGTTTAGTGATAAACACTTCTGTTGTTAAGAAGTGACTGATCTGATTTTTATTTTTTAAAAAATTTAAATAAACATTATCATTAAAAAACTTGGTAATGAATAAGTCAATGAAAACATCACACATCAAAATTAACTAGACCCAGAGACCACACCACTCACTGTGTATAATGGCCTGAAAGGGTAAAATTCAACGTGAAGCTCTGCAGCTTCTCTCCCCAATGCCTAGCTAGCTGTAGTTGCTCTTGGAATTTTAACCATGCAGATGTAAACTTTAAAGTAGCATGTTTTAATTTCCTTTTACCACCTTTATGCAGAAGCTCATTTTAAAGAGCAGAATTTATTCCCCCCCCCCCCCCCCCACACACAAACAAACCCTCCCACCCTCCCTCCCTCCCTCCCTCCCTCTCTCCCCCCCTCCCTAGGAAACAGGGCTCACTATATATCCCTGGATGGCCTGGCACTAAGCCTGCAGTCTGGCTTGCCCTATACTCGTAGAGATCCTCATCTGCCTCTGCTTACCAGACTTTGAGATTAAAGATGTGCTACACCACGCCCAGTTAGTTTCTTATATATGTCAGTCACATTCAGAGTGAGCAAGGCTGTGACGGAACACCTCAAAGAAGCACTCCCGTGAAGACAGGCGTGCTTCGGTCCACATT